CCTGTTGTATCTGTCTTACCGAACGCATTGTGCGTTGTGCTATGTTACAACGGTCTTGCCTGATGAGTGCTTTGTGCACTGAGTGTCGGCGATATTCCTGGTGTAACTGTCCTAATTGACAAGCACATTATGCACTGTGTGGTAAAACTGTGTTTCTGGATGAGTGTACTTCCTATAGTGTGTTGGTGAACATGTCCTGTTGTATCTGTCTCACTGGATGAACGCATCGTGCGTTGTGCTATGCCTGAACTGTCTTACTTAATGAGTACATTGTGCGCTGAGTGTCAGTGTTGATTCCTGGTGTAACTGTCTTAATCGACGAGCACATTATGCGCTGTGCAATATCATAATGAGTCCCAATAGAACTGGCTCACCGAAGGAGTGCATCGGGAGCTGTGCGACGTCTGACGAATCCCGGTGTGGCTGACTGGAAGAGTGCATTGTGCGCTGCGAGGTGACGGTGGATTCCCAGTATAAATGTCTTACTGGAAGAGTGCATTGTGCACTGCGAGATGACTGTGGATTCCCAGTATAACTGTCTTACTAGAAGAGTGCATTGTGCACTGCGAGATGACGGAGGGTTCCCAGTATTACTGTCTTACTGGAAGAGTGCATTGTGCGCTACGAGATGACGGAGGATGCCCAGTATAACTGTCTTACTGGAAGAGTGCATTGTGCACTGCGAGATGACGGAGGATGCCCAGTATAACTGTCTTATTGGAAGAGGGCATTGCGCACTGTCCAATGCCAGACGAACCCCTCTAGATCTGTCGCCCGGGATGATTGCGTTCTACACTGTGCGACGCCAGATGAGTTCCCATATAACTGTCTCACTGGATGAGCGCCTTATGCACCAATCAACGTAAGGCACGTCCAGCCCGGCAGTGTCCGCCACCTCCCAATATCAATGTCTTACTAGTTGACGTATTGTGCAATGTAAGATGTCAGTTGAGTCTCTGTACGATTGTTTCAACGAATGAGTGCATTATGCCACGTACAATGTTGGGTTGAGTCCCAGTAGAATGGTCTTACCAGATGTACGTATTGTTTACCGAGAGTTATATGTAGAGTTCCAGTATCAGTATGTCTCATTAGAGGAGTGCTTTGCATACGGTGTGGGGTCAGCTGTGTCCTAGTCAAATGTCTTACTGGAGGAGTTCATTCCAGTATGTCTTACTCACTCATCCGATTGTGTACTATACGATGTCAGATGAGTCCCACTCTAACAGTCTTTACGGTTGCATTGGGTACTGTGTAATGTCCGCCACCTCCCAATACCAATGTCTTACTACATGTAGTTGACGTATTGTGCAATATGCGATATCAGTTGAGTCTGTATGAGCGTCTCGATGAATGAATGCGTTCGCCACGTACCAGGTTGGACGGGTCCCAGTAGAATGATCTTACCGGCTATACGTTTCGGTCACCAAGAGTAAAATATTGAGTTCCAGTATCATTATCTGTCCTATTGGAGAAGTGTCTTGCATACTGTGTGGTGTCAGCTGTATCCCAGTAAAAATGTCTTACTGGAGGAGTTCATTCTATATTGTGCGGAGTCAAATTTGGCCCACTGTACTAGTCAGATTGGACAGGTGTTGCGTGCACTTTGCAAAGTCAGATCAGACCTAACTTACTGGCTTCTTGCATGGGCTATGTGTGTTCTGTGTGAGGTCTGGCGGCACTGTGTGAATATTCCTGGATTAATTCCAACAATTTTATGCTGTGAACTTAATCATGCCGGCCCTATCGGTTTTCACTTGTCCCGAGTCTGTTTGTGGCACAACCCTGTACATGATTCTTGCATCCAGATGACTTACTCTGCTGTTCTGTGTACTTTTCCTGCTTGTTCTTTCTCCTTTCTCTTCTCTACTCCCTGCTTTAGAGTACTTCAGGGGTTGGCTATGGGAGGATTGATTCTGTTCAGCCCAAACTGAACCGATATATCTGCTATATGTGATCTTTATAGTCGCCACTTGCTGTTCAGTCAGGTTTGAGAATCAGATGCCTTGTTCATGTGCACTGCGTGGACGTATCACTATCACCTACCTGTTATTACAGTGAGGCCAGCAATGCTCAGCTTTTCACCGAAACAGCCACTATCATTCGATATGGTCAAGTCCTGGCTGGCCAGTTCCTGACACCTGAACTACTATAGACACCCTACATGCTGTCACACTCAATTTGGTGGGTTGTTCCTCAGCACTGAACTGTGACGTACTGCACCAGATCAGGGTGCTAGCTCCTTGGACTATGAGCAACTTTGTGTAGGTCATAGCCTACTCGTTTTTGTCATGTATTCTCTCTGTCAGTCTCCCTGTTTTGTTTGCATCTCTCTGCCTTCTTCCTCGTTGTCGCCGCGCTATGCTATTTCTGAGTCACATCTGGCTGCGGCCAACTACCCTTCACTTTGTGTGTTGTCGCTATTGCTGTCTATGTCTCTGTGTATGCCAGTATATGTGGAGCGTGAATCTAGAAGTTAATGGAAGAGGGAACAGAGTTAGAGCATTTTCGTCTTTTGTCTTTAGTTCGTAGCCTATCCATTGCCCACTTCCAGCGAGTAAAGTGCAGGTGGGCATTGACCTTCACGGTTCTGGGGAAAAGACCAAAAAAATGCATAGTGGGAGCATTGATGGTGAGGCTTTCTGCCCTCAACCGACCTGAGGTCTCCACATCATAGGGACATGTTGTTGTTGTGTTTATTTTACATAAAACGTACCAAAAAGAAAGAAGAAGAAAAAAGAAAGAAGTGACAGGTAACAATTTCAAATTTGGACTTCACGGAGAATTTCAAAGTATTATAAAATCAGAGGCCACATGCCACGTACTGCCACGTACTGCTCTTTTCTCTCCGAAACTCAACACTTGCAAGCCAGATATGAAAGACAGAAAAAATCATCAGTCACACCACCGGGACTCGAACCAGGGACCTTGCTATTCGCGAGCAATGCTCTAACCTACTGAGCTACAGTATGACTCTTATCCACAGTGATGGTCAATCTATCGTTCTTCGATCAATCCATATCTGGCTTGCATCACACTGACAGGTACAGGTACATGATACTAAATGTTAGGATGAGAGACAGTACATTAGAAGTAGGGGAAAGATAAGACAGAGAGCGTTAGGATGAGAGACAGTACATTAGAATGTGGGGAAAGATAAGACAGAGAGTGTTAGGAGGAGAGACAGTACATTAGAAGGCGGGGAAAGATAAGACAGAGAGTGTTAGGAGAAGAAGGAGAGAAAAGAAGGAAACACGTTATTGGGAGGAGTACGTGGAGCGGAATTTGAAAAAATCATGGGGTGAGGCAGATATGATGCTGATACTCAGAGATGATCATGTGCTCACGACTAGTCATTATTCTTCAAATAGCGGTTGGCTGCAACTTTGAAACGTTGTAAGTTATTGGTGCAAAATGGACCAGAAAAGACTCTGACGAGCAGCTGGTTCCAGACGGGGAAAATTGCGCGAGGGTAGGCTCGACACAGGTTGTTGCGGGAAGGGAGTGGAATTTCATTTGCCAGTTGGTGTGCGTGGGTGGGTCTTCAAAACGTACTACGGGTGGCGTGGACTGTTTGGGATTGGGGCTGTGGGGTGGCAACATTCTCTGTAGAAGGCGATGTGCATATGGACAATGCATATTGTACAGGAGGCAAAGGTAGGGTCCTCACCGATTGGCGATGGCCACCCTGTTGGATGGGGCGAGCCAGAGTGGTTTGTGCGCGGGCGGACAAAGCGCTTGTAGATCACACAATGACACCTGGAGTCCAGCACTCGAGAGGAATTCCAGAGGAATAATAAAAAATAGCAGAGATGCTGCGATCCTCGAATAGCCAACTTGGAAACATATACCAGATCTCTTCAAGACATTGGACTTACGAGCACGTTCGAGGTGACGAAAGGAACTCATTATCGTTTTCCAGGCTAATGAAGCTAAGCTAAACCTCCAGCTCTTCAACAACATTCTGAAAACTAATGGTTTCGCAATAAACTTCTGTACCTTCTCCTCAGGTGATATACAAGGAAGAGCAAACAAGAGCAATTACAAATACAATGAATTATGAACTCGGATGGCGAGCTAATAAAATTTTGGTGAAAAAAGAGAAGGACAAAAATTAATGTTACGAGTTACTGTTCATCAACCACCATTTAACTGTTCATCAACCACCATTTTGTCGCACTCGCTGACTGTATAAGATCTGGTTACGTTGGTGGACAGTTAATCATAACTTGTAACATTTTGTCCTTCGCTTTTTTCACCAAAGTTTAATTGGCTCACCATCCGAGTTCAACTTTGCACACCTGATGAGACGTCATGACATATACGGCAAAACATAAGTCGTGTGGAAGAACTTGTTTTTGTACATAACTCGTCCATCACATTTACATGATAGTGGAGTTCAGTAGGATATTGACATTTCGGTTTGAGACAATTTGTCTTTGGTTAGCTTCCCCTTCCTATGTTTATTACATAAACTTGAGCCTCCCAAGTTGGGTGGTCAGTTGTTTTGCGTCGTCGAGTTGTAGTAAGGCCGGTATGTCCAAGAGTCTTACTATTTTCGCCATCATCCAGTAACTTTAGGCATTTGCCGTGGCACGTAGCTCGTGCTCTTCTTCGTTGTGCTTTCGTCTGCACCTTGGAGAATTTTTGGAGCTAAGAGTCACGTCGCCGAATGTCTCAGTACTCCTTGTCAGTTTTGTGCCATTTTGTCGCACTTGCTGACTGTATAAGTTCTGGTTACGTTGGTGGACAGTTTGTCATAACTCGTAACATTTTGTCCTTCTTCTTTTCACAATAATTATTTATAATTCATTGTTCTTGCTCTCGTTTGCTCGTGTTACTATATCACCTTGGTGATGCGGAAGGAGACAATGTACGGGAGAAGCTACATCACGACATGAAGAGAAGGCACGGAAGTTTACTTCCAAAAACTATTTCACTGCATAATTCTTCTTTCTGCTCATACAAAACGAGAAAGCATCAGAGATAATCTGACTTACATCATTCTTTGGTTCCAACGAATGGCCAGAATTAAGTAGATAATCTGCTACGGAAACATGACCTCTATCTGCTGCACGATGTAATGGTGTGTCACCTTTCTGGAAGTAGCAGCAACAACAAAGAAAAACCATGTCCACATATACCCACGAGCATATACATGTTGATGCACACGCACACATGCACGCACACACATACTCATGCATGAACGCACACACAAACACACACACACACACACACACACACACAAACACACACATCCAAAAACACACGCATAAACATATACACACACCTCAGACCCCAGACCTCAGACCTGCCCAACACAGAAGCAATGATAGCGAACAGCGACGTTAGACACAGCAAGTAGTGCTGGGATTGCACACACACAAACACACACATACACACACACACACACACACCTGTCCTGTCCTGTAGAGCCACTGGCACAGGGGTCACGTGGGCCCCGGAGGGTCATCAGAGAGGAAGATGGAGCACGCAGCCTGATGACGCCGGAGATGGTGGGGCAAACAGAGCCGGCGAGAACACACGCATACATGGCTGAACGAATTACGCTGCTGGGCAGTCGGGCGCGGGCCAGTCCTCGAGCACCAGTGACGACCGCGGCCTTGCACAGACCCAAAGCATCGGGCACACACAGCACAGTGCACAGCACAGCAGGCATCCTGCACATAGACTTGCCGGGGCTCGGGAGGCTGAGGCTGAGGTGCGGAACAGCGGTGAACAGCTAGACCACCCTTGCTGCGAAACCAACGCCCACAATCTCCACAGTGGCAAGCCCCTCGCTGCTCAGCAATCGGCTTCACACACACACATACACACACACACACACACACACACCTTGACCTTGACCTTCATCTTGCCCATTGCGTATGCAATGATAGAGAATGTCGTAAAGTTCAAGTGAGAACGCGAGCGCAGAACTTGGCATGTCGTTTCAGGTCTCCTGGTCGACGAAACGGGCGACCACAGACACAGAGAAGAGGATCAGGAGCGGGCTGTGGCGGCGGAGTGCTACTCGCAACTCGTCTCCAGCCGGGACGATCTTGGCAACTGTCAAGCCAGGTGGTCATGCCGATGACTATACTGATGACTATCGTCTATGTCCGATTTCTTAACTGTGGTGCAACAGCTGGCGATTATATACCCCGTTTTATTTCAAAAGTCAAACTGCGACAATTTCAATGACGCTTAGGAGGTAATTAACGTGATGTGACCTATTCTCAATTTTTTCTAAAACAAAGCGAAGTTCGCGTTCATCTGCGCAATTAACGCATCCAGTCCAGAAGACATTTCACATGAGGTTGAAGTAGAATAGTTCGCCTCTTTCTCCACAAGTATTATTTTGATACTATACTGCACGACTATTTATTGCTTCGAGTTATAGATTTAAATTTGTACATCGTGTTCTTCGTTTGAGACTTTGTTTACCGTTCTGTTCTTCTATCAATACTCTGCATTCTCCGCGCCTGCTCTGTTCCTTTCTTCTCTTGCTATTATCATGTTACCTTTCTTCTCTGACTCACACTGACTGTCAATTTGTCTAGTTTCAAATTGTTTCATCATCTGCCGGATCGCAGAGATCGTTCCTGCATTGTAGTTCACGGTTACGTTTCGTAAACATTTTTGCGTAGGCATTTTCACGAGTTATGTTGACGTCATGCGCTATCAGTTATGCGTCATTATTGCGAGCATGCACATTGCTTTTGCCTTCTGCCTTATTTGCATGCCGCGCCTGCTGCACAGGTTAGCATCCCCACGCTTGCTGGCCGAAGCCCCATTGACCGCGCCGCGTGCGTACTCGCACACATCAGCCGGGCTTCTCCACGTTGCCTTGCATCGCCCCTGCCGGTTCTGTGGAGCTCGAATTTAATTTCTCCTTGTTGATTAGCTCTCCCAAGATTGAGTTGTTGGTTTTCTATATCCTTACCTAACTAATTCATTTCCAAGTATCAGTCCTTTTATTTACACTACTGTCAGAGTCCGCCGTTGTGAGTGCTGTGTTCATGTGCGGAGTAGTAGTGGTGAATAGTTGTTGTGCGTGCGTTACACAACAATGTATCAGGCGTTTTTCTTCCCTTCTCTCCAGGATTATACAGGGAATGGCTGAAATGAAAATACTACAACATATAGCGAAAATGTCCTGAGATATAACTCTCGTGACAAGGTTGAGTTCTCAGAAGGAGATATGATATAACAACAACAGCGTAGTGAAGAAATTATGTAGCATTATTCACACATCGACGAGGAATAGCATCAAACAATTGTACAGACAACACATTTTCTTTCTGGAAACAAAGCTCAGGATAAAACTTAAGTTTGTACGACGCTTCTAACACAGCCGAATGCAATGGACCTCTACCACGTGACAGTACTCCCGACAATAAGCATGCGTGGACAGATGGCTTTTGATAGATGAAGTACCACTCTGGGCTCCTTTCTTTGTTGTCCCCTCCCGTGTCCTGTCATCTCTCCTCTGCGTGACATCACAGTACCCATCTCATGGCCTGGTGACGCTCATTGTCCCTTCAGCTGCATCTCCTCCAGTATTGTTTTTCATGGAGCTTCTCACTCTAGCTTCTCTAGTCTCAAAGTTCTGGTTTAATTACGCGGTCTTCCAGGTTGTCTAACATCCACTTTTGTTATCACTTCTATTGTAATTGTCGGTCCTCTCCAGTACGTCTTCACACTTGGCTTAGTGTTGGAACGTTCTCCATTTGTTAGTGTTTGTCTTCGTTTAACATGTATATTACTCAGTATGTCGTAATTGGACACTGCTCGATTATTCTTACCTTGTGCGTTTCACTATTTGTAATGTGGCTCCTCTGCTTCAGTTTTCATTCTATCTCTCTGGCAGGGGCAGCCACCATCTGTCTGGTGGGTGCCAGCATCCTCCAGCAGTTGCGCTGGGACTCTACGATACATTTTTGTTCTTCGATAATTAGAAATCTGCCTTTCTAGTTCTTCGCTGTTTGAATTATTATGTATTTGTGCTGTTTCTTGCGGCACTCGCTTTGTGTAGATTTGACCTTTTTTGCATGTCCGCGTGAGTACAGATGACATCATGCATTATTTTCTGTCACATGTTTTGCTTTGCGTTCAGGATGTTTGAACTACGCCCGCTGACCGATTTTCTTTGCTTGCTGTTTTCTTTGCCAATCAAGCGAGGGGACGCTACGGTGTCATCCTCCTTGGCTGTGTGTCCGGTACGGGGCCGGGTACGTGCGTCCCCAGCTCTCCGTTCTTTGTTCTTTTTGAGTTAGATTCTTCAATGGTGTTTTGAGAACATGTTTGGTAATACAGTCTTCTAAATAGATCGATGCCTCCAATGGTTGTGTCTAATGTCGGTGTGGGTTTGCGAGGGAACCGGTGACACATTTGGACCTTCGAGCCGGATCCGACAGGTTTCGACTGGTAGTGTCAGCGATGGTAATGGCGTTTCCGCCACCACCAGAGTTTGTGACTAGTAGTTTTACGCCACGCCATTATGGTACGAGCGTGGGAGAAACTCCTGTTGAGGAACTTGAGGACCGCTGGAAAGAATTGATTCGTCGCAGAACAAACCTTCGTAGACGCCGCACGCGGATAAGTAACCGCTTGCGAACACTGATTGCTTGCTCCTTGCCGTCTCGCCGATATTTGCAGCCTGATGTCCGTGAATTGGAATTTGTACGGTCAGAGCTGAATTTGGTTGTAGAAATTATGCGCAGTATGTTGGGATCCCAAGAGAGTGAACAACTGCTGAATGAGTCGGACGAGTGGGAGGCGAAGTTTGATAAGGAAAGTGTTGGTGTGACGGCTGCTGCTGAGGCGATTTTGGATTCGCCTGTTGAGTCTGTTTCTGGCCAAGTGGCATCAGGCCAACAATCAGCAGTCGCAGAACAGGTTACCCCTGTGCCACCATTTACACCACCGCACATGCGGCCTGTGCCACCTATCCCAGCACCACACACACGGCCGACACCACCACCGAAGCCACGGAGTCTGAGCAGCAGAGCAACGTCAGTTGGCTATAGTGCTCCAATGAGTAGACTTTCTGAGTGGTCTCCTCATCCGGAACCTGCTGTGGAGCCTCATGTGCATGATTAGCTTGTCAGTATGCAATGCCCGCATGGGGTCAGTGCTTTACACCACTTGAAGCCGCTGGAGCAGGGCCAAGTTTAGCAGAAACGCGCAACAGTTTGTGCGATGGAGTCAATCGTTCAAGCGGCTGGTGGATGAGGATCGCTACGTATCCGACGATTATAAGCTGGCTAGGCTAAAGGAGGCGTTCCAAGGAAGCTCGGCTGAGGACATTGTGGCCCAGATGTTTGAAGGGCCAGGCGCATACGCTACTGCTTGGGCAGAACTTGACCAGTGGTATGGGGGAGAAGACCGCCACTTGGCACTACAGGAGAAGGCAATCCTGAACCATCCCAGAATCGCAGACCGTGATTCAGAAGCCCTGCGGAAATTTGCTGTCAAGCTCAGAAATGTACTCATGAACCGGAACTTGGCTGGAGAGACCCCTGGTAGGGAGCTATTCCTAAGTGCGCTGGAGAAGCTACCCAGAAGTGTAGTTATACGATTTTACGAACCACATCCAGACAGCAAATGCAACGCAACCACATTGTCGTTCTGGCTGGTAAAACGGGTCCAGAACGCGAGCCGATGACATCTTGGTGACAGTCGGCACAGAGAAGTTGAACAAGACACCTCCTGCGGTCCTGCCAAAGCCTAGGTCATCTGCTGTGTATGCTGTGGAGTTCAGTACTCAGCAGTGTGCCAAGTTAAGCAAGAGCCATGCCACAGCAGAGTATCCGGAATTCAGGGCGCTGACAACCAAGCGCCGCTGGGACCTGGCCAAGCGTGCCAAGCTGTGTAGCTGTTGTTTGGAGCATGGACACTTGGCGCGTGAGTGCCAGAAGCTGGAACGTTCCCACTGTGGAGAGAGGCACCACTCACTTCGGCACTACAGCAAGTCAGTGCAGCCACAACAAGCTGCAGCGCAGAATCCCGCTACGATGCGGTCAGCAGCTCCGGCACCTCGGCAGGAAAGTTCTCACCATGCTAGTGTCAGCGTGCCACAGACGACCGCTTTCGC